TATATATAAAATTAATTCAAAGTTTTCTAACTTCACCTTTGGTTGAAAAGATTTATTTAGAGGAAATATTTAGATGGAATTGAAATCATCTATATATAGTGTATAGTGTCCAAAATCTAAAATGCATTGTTTCCGTACTGGTTGATCATTTCGGTAAGGGATAATGACTTAAAAGGGTAATATATTTTTCGATTTGTACATATTTGGTCATTGAGTTTTTTTTTTCGTTCACATTTACCTCTTCAACTTGTTAAACTGTACACATTCAGTCCTTATGACCGACTACTCCAGGTTAGCCGGTAAAAATGACTTAATAGGGTAATATATTTCTCACTTTGTACACATTTAGTCCTTAATATTTTTGTACACGTTTAGTCATTAATATTTTTTTTGTTGTAAAATAAATCATTTTTGTTTTTGTACTCATTTAGTACTTATGAATGATTTATTTAGGTTTGGAGCTTTTGACGTTTGTGTCCATCGCAATCTCGACTACTTGGTTGCTTAGGTCACGTGTTCTGAACGTCATAACTTCTTCATTCGATCTCAGATTTTAACGATTTGTATATCTACGTGTTCATATTTCAGTCTACTACATCTTTCGTTTATATTACTCCCATTAAAAAGTAATATATTTTTAATTACAATCTTTATATCCATACTTTTTTATGAATGCATGTATGATTTTTTTTATTAAAATCGTAAGTAAAAATATATTACATTTTAACGAGAGTAATTTTAACGAAAGTTATAATAGACTCAGAAAACGAACACATGGATGTAAAAATCGTTAAAATCTGATATCGTATGAAGAAGTTACGACATTCAAAACACAAGACCTAAGCCAAACAACAAGACCTATGCAACCAAACAGTCGAGATTGCGATGAACAAAAGCATCAACAGCCTCAAACACCTAATCAATTATTGTCTCACATAAGATGTCGTGTGAAGAACCTAAAGAAATCATTCATAAGTACCGAATGAAATACAAAAACAAAAAATGACTTATTTTGAAATGAAAAAATATTAAGTATTAAATGTATACAAAATGTGAAATATATTACTTTATTAAGTCATTTTCCCGACTAACCTGGAGTAACCGGTCATAAGGACTGAATGTGTACAGTTTAACAAGTTGAAGGGGTAAATATGGACGAAAAAAAAGTTAATGATCAAATGTATATAAATCGAAAAATATATTACCGTTTTAAGTCAACCTTTCAGAAACTAAAAAAAATGGATAAAATACATCATACATACTTATAAAGCTAGCATTTTTTCTTGAATCTCATGCATTTGAAACCCCCTTTTTTAATTTCATCAAACCACATTCATTTGAAACCCCATTTTTTAACTAATGCAACTCAAAAGTTTCCTTAATTATGATTTAACACTCAAAAGTTTTATAACTTATATTATGTTTAATTAGCATTTAGTGAAAAGTTTACTATAAAAAGGTCAATCTTTTGGGAAAATATGCATACAAATATCAGAAAGAAAACAAACTTAAAGGTTTTTGTGTTGGGTTGAGGTCTTATGACCATTTTTGGAGATATGCTATTATATTAGAGCTTTTAATTTGTAAGTTTGTTATACTAATTCGTTTTTATATTTTCTTCGTTTTTAGATTATTGTAATACAATCGTTGTATATTGTGGTTTAATCGTTAATATATTAATCATATGTTATATAGGGTGATGTCGAAAATATTTAGTTTATGTGTTATGCATCTTTCTATAATCACAAGATGATGAAGTGAGATTGATAATTACTTCTCATGAGCTTTTGGTAAATCAACCATCAAGTTATTTATAAGTTAGAGCAATTAACTTTGTTAACATGTATGTATCTTTATGTTGTCTCTCTCTTTTTTATGTTGAAAAAATATATTTTATGTACAAGAGAACATTATTCAACATTTATTTTATGGTATGTATATACTATGTTAGTTTCTATTTCTTATTTTGTAAATAATATCGATGGAGTAATTTGCCTTTAAATTTTACACTACATTCAAAAGTATTTTAAACTTATGGTTATTAATGTGCAATGCTTTTTTATTTTCCACTTATTTAATATACACATTGTAGCTATATTAGTAGTATATAAGTAAGTTTTGATTAAAAGTATCGTATGTTTGAAAAGATTTATGATTCAAAATGAAAGAGTTGAAAAAAAAAGTTTTGTCATATTTACTAATCGACTTATTTTAAAACTCTTGATGACATTTATGTATAATGATATATTTTGTATTACTTCATTCTTAATTTCAATGTTGAATATTTAAAAGTTCATATATGAAACTTTGGATGTTTTGGTGTAATATAAATAGTGTAATACAAAGTTTATTAGTTCAATATTGTTTATTAATAGTTCATTCAAAACAACTTATTTCGTATTTTATCCAAAAAATATTATCGGATATAAGAAAAATAGACTATATTAATGTTATACAAAAACTTATAACATATATTAGATAGTATAAAAGTAAAAGAAACGTTTATAAGGTATGGACAACATTAGATAATATCAAAATATAAGTTGATGAATTTTTATATTATTTGATAATTCGGTTAATGCTCAAAACATGACTAAAAACGTAAATTTCAACATATTTCTATATTTTTTTTCCATAATTATTTTAACCACTGTATTCTTGCGCAACGGTTGAGGTTACGACTAATTTATTCTAAATTTTGATTATGATACAGGCATTTAGAATTTTTTATTTGATTATTTAAATATGAGGAATAAAATTTTAATGGTTTTTTTTTTTCATTTAAAATGAAAAGTATAGAATTTATAACGTCACCGGCCAACTCTCCAGTTTCTCTAGTATTTAATGAAAACAAAGTATACTGTTCCTTGAAAATAGATACCTATATCAGTGTCAAGACGATCAAATCGGAAAACAGCGCCGGCCACCTTCTTTCCATATCACTCGCCGGTGATAAAGTTTTGCGTTTTTCTCAAACAAATAACCATCCATGGCTTCATCGACACAGAATCATCAACAACACTTCCCGACGTCGAGCGGCACCACATCAGCTCCACCACCCACACCTTCCACTACCAAACATAATTTCACCTCCACCTCGGACTCAGCCGCCACGGATCTTCTCTCCCGTCTTCTCCACCGCCTCCCACCAACTCTCTCAAACACCCCTCTATTACTCCGCCGCCGTTCTTCAATCGCCACCACCACCACCACCTCTCCTCCAGTAGTCCCCTTTTCCGAGCTCAACTCCTCCCTTTCCACCACCCTCCCTTCCGTTTCCGAACTCGGCTTCTTCCAACTCACCAGCCACTCGATACCCTCCGAACTCGCTCGTTCAGCCGAGTCCGACTCACTCTCTCTTTTTAACCTCCCTCGCCACCTAAAACATCAACACTTCCCCAGAAGCTGGCCGCTCGGTTTTGACGATGACGATGACGATGACGATGAAGAAGATAACGGTACCGGAGATTCGTTGTTTCTTGACTCATCTTGCTCAACGGATTCATCCGAGTTGTCTCTGAGTTCTCTACGCGAGTTCACTCGGGAAATGGAGAAAATCGGGTTTGCTGTCGTGGAAGCATTATTGTGCGCGATGGGGTTACAGAATCCGGCCGGAGAGGACCCGGATAGTCTTTGTTCGATGATGTGGGTATCAAACAGATCGGGTTCACCCGATGATAAACTGGTTGGGTCGGGTGTATTTTACCCGTATGTGGTCGGGTTGCATTATCAATTTCGGAGCCAAAGTTGTTCTTTGTTGGCGGATCCGGGTTGGGTAACCGTTTCGTCCTCAATGGATTCGATATTGGTTACCCTTGGAGACATCGCTCAGGTGAAAAATACTTTTAAATTTTTTGTTTTATAGTTTTATAAATATAATCTTATTATACCATATTTTGACTTTATTATGAAATAAAAAATTATAAAAAAACCCGACTTTTTGGGTTGTATCTACCGTAATGGCCGCCAAATGGACCCAAGAAATAGAAATAATTAAGTTAAACATAATGCAAAGTTTGATTATTAGAAAATTTAGTTGTTATTATTATTATTATTATTATTATTAATTTATACATACATTGTGTGCGGATGTAGATATCCTTAATGGGGTCTAGAGACTTATAATTTGTTGTTTGACACGAAATGTATTAAAATTAGTATTTTTAGGTGTGCCATCAAATTGATTTCGCTTTCAATTTTGTCATTTTATGATCTATTGGTCATGTGGCTGAATGTATATTCCCATTATTGTCTTATGTGATACGGTTTATCCCGCTCTAAAAAATGTAGATTTCTTGCAAAATCATTCCTTTAATAGTATAATATTAATATAACAATATAAGTCGTTATAAGTAAAAAATGTCTATGTGTATATTTGTTGACTTAATGTTACACGCTTGCTATTGTCTATGATTTTTAGTAAATAATACATACATACATAAAATAATAAAGGAATGATTTTATTGAAACGGTAACATTGTATAATATGGTTAAAGTACCTTTGTTACATAAAAATCATGTTATAATTTTACAATAATTCTAGTAAATATACGACGATATTATTTTTGCTCCGTTTTTTTTTTAATTTCTTTGGAAAGTGTTGTAAGTATTTTATTTATTGTCTAATCAAGTGAGTAATGGAATCTTCCTTAATAAATGAAGGTTGTTTTTGCCACATGTCAATCTCTCATGAGTTTTGACTTTTGTCATTTTGTAGTATTTTTGAAATAAATATTATCCACATGTCAATTTTTGGTTGTTTCAATTTTTAAAATTAAATTCATATACTTATATATGTAAAGTATTAAATATCATATATATGATATTAAATTGCAATAAATACATTTTTTTATTTCTTATTTTAAAGTTGTATATTAAAAAATATTTTCTGTTTACATTTTAATTTAATGTTTAATCTTTTTTAAATTAACACGTGTAATACACGGGTCTCACACCTAGTATCCTCCTTAATAAATGAAGATTGTTTTTGCCACATGTCAATCTCTAATGAGTTTTGACGCTTGTCATTTTGTGGTATTTTTGAAATAAATATTATCCACATGTCAATTTTTGGTTGTTTCAATTTTTAAAATTAAATTTATATACTTAACTCGTGTAATACACGTGTCTCACACCTAGTATTTGATATTATATCTTCTTGTTGTTTAATTTTCTTTTATAGGTATGGAGTAATGGAAAATTGAAGAAAGTAAGTGGGAAACCGGCATTAAGCATGGAAGAAGGAAATAATTCGTCCCCATTTACATCAATGTCTCTTTTAGTGACATTGCCACTAGAGAGCACTGTCTCTCCTCTTTATCCAAGGGTGGTGATTAGCAACCATGACAACAAGAACCAGCATGAAGATGAAGATTCTGAAAGTAATGAAGTTAATAAGTTTAATTCATTTTCATTTGAAGATTATGCTTGGAGAGTTTATCATGAAAGAGTTCCTCTTAAAGACCCCTTGGACAGATATCGCATTTGATCTTTAATTGTAAGGGATCATGAAATGTTTATTTCTTCAATTTCCTGTTTAGTTTGTTGTGCTACTCTTTCTTTTATAAAATGTTATATACTTTTGGGATAATAGTTAGAGCTGTTAATTTGGTCAACCTGATCGGATTTCGGGTAAATCAAGTCGGGTTAGTTGGATTTTTTAATATGAAAAAATCACCCAAAACCTGATCCTATTAAGCTACGAGTTAGTTGTGTTTGGGTCAATCGGGTTTCAGATAAATAGGGTCGGGTCAATTGGGTTAGTGGGGTTAATATTGGTAATCCATTATGTAATCTAATTTTCCTATTTTCATAATCTATTAGAGATAAAAAAAAAAAGCATTACATACTTTTTAACTAACTTGTAGAATTTCTCATTCGGAGAAGGTTTACTTTTGAATGGCAGGAAGTTACAAGATAAATAAGTATAATATGGATTTATTAGATAGATCAATAAATAATTTAGTTAATAGGATCGTATTTATTAATGATCTAGCATGACATTTCAAGTACTTGATGAGATTAAGCATTATTATTTGGGTTAACCCAAACTCAAAAAAATGATATACAACAAACCCGAAACCCTACCGTAATTATAGTTCGGGTTATCGGGTTAACCCGAATAACCCGGCTATGAATTTTAGACCCTATTCAATCTGACCCATTTACGCTTATTCAAGTTCGGTTTGGGCCGGGGTTAGTCGGGTTCGAGTATTTTTGACACCCCTATTAATAGTGTGTCAAGTTTTCATATATTCATTTCTCACTATTAGTGTAACACCCGGTTCCCGGTACGTATTTTAAAATTTAAAGGTTTTATGTTTTGCACCGGGAATCGGCTAGTTCGAGGCCCAACTCGTCGAGTAGACTAGACTTTGGCCGCAGGTTTTAAGTAACCTACTCGACGAGTCGGGAGCCCGACTCGGCGAGTAGGACTGTCTGGATGAAACCTTAATATTTAGGTTTGCACCCTATTTAAACGTCTTATCTTGTCTCAAACCAACCTTCATCGTCCCTCCCAGTCCAGAAAAGCCCTAACTCGAAACCCTAATCATTTCTTGAGTGAGGTTTTGACAAATTTCAAGCTCATTTGAGGTATAAAGCCGAAACCTTGACCACTTATCTCTTAGATCTCTAGTTAGGGCTCAT